TGTGCCAGGGTGCAGGTGCTTTAGACGTGACAGAGGTAGAGGAAAGAGGGAAGGGGGAGTCGCATTTTTGATTAAGGGGAGTATCACAGCTTAAGTCAGAGATGAAATAACTGAGGGATCATCCAGTGAGGCTTTTGGGTGGAGCTAAGAAATAAGAAGGGGATGTTGACATTATTGGGGTTGTATTATGGACCCCCAAATAGTCAATGGGAATTAGAGGAACAAATATGTAGGGAGATTGCAGAGGCTTGCAGGAGCAATAGCGTTGTCACAGTGGGGGATTTTAATTTTCGTAACATAGACTGGGACTGGCATAGTATCAAGGGCTTAGATGGAGTGGAATTTGTTAAATCCGTTCAGCAAAGTTTCCTCAAGCAGTACATAGAGGGTCCTACTCAGGAAGGGGCAAAACCTGACTGACTCTTGGAAAATATGTCAGGACAGGTGGGTGACATGACAGTGGGGGAGTAGTTTGGGACCAGAGACCATAGTTCTATTAATTTTAAAACAGTTATGGAAAAAGACAAAACTGGTCCACAGGTTCAAGTTGTAAATTGGGGCAAGGTGAATTTTGATGGAATTAGACAGGAGCTTGCAGGGGTTGACTGGAGTAGTTTGTTTGCAGACAAAGGGATATCAGGCAAGTGGGAGGCATTGAAAGTGTGATAGCTAGAGTTCAAGGCCTATATGTTCCTGTGAGGGTGAAGGGCAACGATAGCAGGGGTAGGAACCCGGGATGACAAAGAGATATTGAGGCTTTGACAAGAAAAAAGGAGGCGGCATGGCTCAGGTACAGGCAGCTGGGATCCAGGGAATCCCTGGAGGTATACAAGGGATATAGGAGCTTACTGAAGGAGGAAATCAGGAGGGCGAAAAGGGGGCACAAGATAGCTTTAGCTGAGAAGATTATGGTGAATCCAAACAGATTTGTTCAGTATATTAAAGGGAAAAGAAGTACTAGAGAACGAATCGGACCCCTCAAGGACCAAAGTGAACATGCATGCGAGGAACTGCAGGAGATGGGGGAGGTCCTCAATGAATACTTCTTCCTCTGTCCTTACCATAGAGAAAAACAAGACGACTTGGGAAGCTCGTGCCAATATTTTGGGGACAGTCCACATCACAGTACAGGTGGTGTTGGAAGTATTAGAATGTATGAAGGTGGATAAATCTCCTCATCCTGATCAGGTACATACAAAAACACTGCAAGAGGCTAGAGAAGAAAATGCAGGGCCCCTGGCTGGTATACTTGCATCATCGTTAGCCATGGGTGAAGTCCCGGAATGCTAGTGAACGTTGTGCCCTTATTCAAGTAGGGCTGCAAAGTAAAATCTGAGAATTATAGACCAGTAAGCTTAACATCTGTGGTAGCTAAGTCACTTGAGAAGATTCTGAGGGATAAGACATACATGTATTTGGAAAGACAGGGTTTGATTAGGAGTAGTCAGCATGGCTTTGTGCGTGGGAGATCATGGCCTCTCAAATTTGTTAGAGTTCTTTGATGAAGTGACCAGGAAGGTTGATGAGGGCAGGGCAGCAGACGTATTTCAGTAAGGCCTTTGATAAGGTTCCATATGATAGGCTGCTCCGAAAGGTTAGGTCACATGGAATCCAGGGAGAGCTAGCAAATTGGATACACATTTGGCTTGATGGTAGGAAGCAGATGGTAATACTGGAAGGATGCTTGTCAGACTGGAGGTCTGTGACTAGTGGTGTACCTCAGGGGTCGGTGCTGGGCCCGTTGCTGTTTGTTATCTATATCAATGATTTGGATGAGAATGTATTCGGCATAATTAGTAAGTTTGCAGACGACATTAAAATAGGCGGTATCGTGGAATGAGGAATGTTATCAGAAATTGCAGCAGAATCTTGATCAGCTGGGGAAATAGGCCAAGAAATGGCAAAATGGAGTTTAATTTAGATGAATGTGAGGTGTTGCATTTTGGAAAGTCAAATCAAGATAGGCGTTTTGTTGTGAATGGTAGGGCCTTAGATGAAGAGAGGGAAAAAGGCTTTTGGCACATTGACCTTCATCAGTTGGGACACTGAGTAAAGAAGTTGGGAAGTTACGTTGCAATTGTACAGGAAGTTGGTGAGGCCGCATTTGGGCTATTGTGTTCAGTTTTGGTCATCTTGCCATAGAAAGGGTGTTATTAAACTAGAAAGAATGCAGAAGAAATTTATAACCATGTTGCCAGGACTCAAGGGACTCAGTTATAGGGAGAGGCACAAACTAGGACTTTTTCTTTACAGCGCAGGAGACCGAGGTGGTGTGGGTGGGGGTTGGGGGGGCGGTGTGGGGAGGAGGGTGGAGGATCTTATAGAAGTGTATAGGATTATGACAGGCATGGGTAGTGTGAATGCACTCCGTCTTATTCCCAGCATTGGAAAATCGAGGGCATCAGTTTAAGTTAAGAGGGGAAAGAATACATGGGAACCTGAGGGCCAACTTTTTTCACACAGCAGTTGGTGGAGGCAGGTACATTAACAATATTTAAAAGGCATTTGGATAAATACACGGATAGAAAAAGTTTAGAAGGATACGGGCCAAGTGCAGGGAAATGGGTTAGTGCAGATGGACATTTTGGTCGACATGGACCAGTTTGGGCCAAAAGGGCCTGTCTCCGTGCTGTATGACTCTCTATGACTCTAACTTGTTCTAAGTTATAAAGAGCAGTACAACAGTTCTATTCTCCTTTAGAAAAAGCAATGATCATAATGGCCCTCTGACTTGTGTTTCCTTTTAATTCTCTGAGCACCACTAGCAAATCCTGCATTTGTTGAGTAAACCTAAATGTCCTAATGTGATGAAACACATAGAAATGAGAAGAGTAGGCCATTCAGCCCTTTGAGCCTGCTCTGCCATTCAATAGGATCATGGCTGATTCTCTACTTCAGTGCCATATTCCCTCTTTCTCCACTTAAATATCCAAAAATGTATTCATCTCGTTCTTGAATATATTTAGTGACTTGGCCTCTACAGCATTTTCTAGTCGAGAATTCAAAATGTTCACTATCCTCCGAGCTAAGAACATTTATCTTATCTCTGGCCTAAATGGTCTATTCTACACCCTGATACTCTGTATGCTAATTCTATGGAAAATAAACCAAAGAAAATATCCTCCCTCCTCAGTTCAGCTCTGTTAGAATTTTATACATTTCAATCAGTTCCTCCTCATCCTTCTCACCTCCAGTGAATATAGGTCCCCTCATAGGACAGTACCGCCATCCCTGATATCAATTTGGTGAACTTCTTCACCACTCCCTTTATGACCACTCCCTTTCTTTAGCAGGGAGATCAAAACTAAATGCAATACTCCAAGTGCAGTCTTACAAATACCCTGCCTACCTGCAGTAAGGCATCCCTATTCTGAACTGAAATCTTCTAAAGCTTCTGAAAGCTCTAATAAGCCTGAGCTGCAAGCTCAAACAGTCTGATATTATTCGACAATAGCAAGTCAGATACTTGTATTACACAGTGAATGACAACATTGAAGGATAATTTTCAAGGACCAGGATGGAAATCACGCAACTCGAGGCTGCTCCTCGCCCAAGCACTCAACCCCAGGTCCAAGCACAGCGATCCCAAACATGACCTGGCCATAGTTGGTCACTAAGAACTCCAGGTGTAGCCTACTGTACCAGGCCATGGTACTCTTGTCCAAATTCATCACGAATGCAGAGAACAATGATGGCATGTTCACCTGTTTTTGCACATACATTACTTCTGAGCTTCGCAGTGAAGACACTCAGAACAAGAATGGTTACAACATACTAAGTAGAGCCCCGTTTGATTCAAGTGTTCTCTTAACAAGACTTGAAAGTATATCAGAATGAATATTTTTGTTCTCCTTTCAAAGGATGAGCACTTTGCTGGCAAGGCCAATATTTGTTGCTTAACCCAAACGGACCTCAAATGCAGTTTTGTTAAAAAGCTGTAACACCAATAAGCTGGGACTTTTTCCATTGAAGCATAGGAGGCTGAGGGGTGACCTTATCGAGGTTTATAATATCATAGATAGGGTAAACAGCAAAGGCCTTTTCCCCATAGGATTGGGGAGCTCAAAACGAGAGAGTATAATTTTAAGATGAAAGATTTAAAAGGGACCTGAGGGGCAACTTTTTCCACACAGGGAGTGGTTCATATATGGACGAACTACCAGAGGAAGTGGAGTAGAAGCAGACACAGTTATAAGATTTTAAAAGACACTGGGCAAGTACATTGATTAGAAAGGTTTAGAGGAATATGGGCCAAATGCAGACAAAGAGGACTAGGTTAGTTTGGGAAAATTGGTTAGCATAGACGAATTGGACTGACGGGTCTGTTTCCATGCTGTATGATTCTCGTTGCACTCAATGTGCATATATTGAGTAATGTTGTGAGTGAAATTTAGAGCTTTCCACATGTTTACACACATGAGGATAAAATAAATGTTTCCTACGGAAATGCTCGAGTGAATACGGTGTGGTCGTTTTAAATAAACACTTAACCAAATCAATATTTAATAGTGGAAGTGCAGGGAAAGATACAAACCCATGTTCAATAATGAGCTCAAAAGAACTTAGTGGAATAAATTCATGAAGCTTAATGATTTACGTTTAAATTTTTTTCCTGTATTCTGGAACATGAATTATTTTAATTCAATATCTAATTTTTTTTATCCAAACGGTGCCGAAAGAAATTGCACACCTTTACTGAACACAAATTAGGAAGATAATTCAATGTATTTACAAGGGCATGGGAATATTGCATCAGTGATTAGAGAGATTATTTAAAGGAACAATCAGCAAATGGAGAATACTATATCAAAACAGAGGCAAAGAAAGGAAAAGTTGTCTCTTAATATCATCAAGCTGGAAAACTGCAGCACCTAGCTAAAAATTAAATGAGGGCAAAAACATCAGCCACATTTTATTAAATATAAGTCAGGAAAAAAAATAGTTACAAGCACTAAGCAGAACAACAAAAAAGAGAATATCAAAATTCAGTGCGAACTCACCTGCATTCTGTGCAATAGTCATGTGGTAACCAGATGACAGAAGGGCTAAAAGGACAAACCCAAATAACACCCAGAGCTTCATTCTACCAGTTCTGAATAGATCGACAGAACACGAGCAATGTCATCCACTAGAGTGTTCTTTTTCCCTGCAACAACAGCAATGCCCAAGTCATGATTAATCGTAGATTAAAATCCAAATGCATCAGAGCACTCAAGTACGTGACACTTAGAATTTTGCCCTTATGTACTATTTGAGTACATCCTGCAGGAACTGGCCCGGGTCATGCCGGATGCCTCATATCTGCAGACCATAAACAGTGCTGCAAAGCACTGATAACACTTAATATTCTAGCTAACACTACATCCTGCGCTGTTGTATAAATGATAAAATCAATAACATTGTCCTCTGAAAATTGTGATGATCCATGTGTCATTGGCAAATCTTCTGTTGGTTCGGACTTTTGAGGTACAATTTCAGTACCTCGCACTTGTGATGTGCGAATCATACTAAGGGACTGGTTCGGTCATGTGGGTATTAACAGATAAATCAGATTCTTTGTACCCCTCATTTCTGCACAAGGACTTTCAAATGCTAGGCATGCAGAACATCAAACTGAAGCAGTAAACCCGGCCAAATGTCCACTCCCTACTTCTGGGAGACTGAGAGACTACTGTCCAGCCTAAGATCAGACACTACAAAAGGATTCACCATCAGCTGAATTACTTTTGAATATTTTCAATACTCTTTTTAAAATTTAAATAAACAGGGATACAATGCAAGACTGCAGTAAAACAGAAAATAAAATTTCCCTAAGAGCATAAACATTGATAACGCATTAAAACAGCTTCAAAGCCTGCACTTCACAGAATCAACCACAGTTAATGAGAATTAGTGATCCGTTGGGACCGGAAGTCAAGATCTCCAAATCAATTTACTGTAAATGTGATGATTGATTGATCTGTAAATCAATGCTTTAGTTGGAACTTTGTAATAATACTATACAGATCACAAAAGTATGGAGTGATGTTATTACCACTCAATTAGAATCTGGCCAATTTCCCTTTACAACTCAAATGTATGACATTTGATTTGACCTCTGGAAGTGATGAGATGTTTTCACTCTGTTACAAAGATGAGCGTCAATGCTGCAAAACAAGGCCTTCGACTGACCTAAAATTCAGGGAAATTCAGAATCAGCTTCATTCTTGTCTTCGAAGAATTTCATCCTTCCTTCCTGCTAAGGTAAGGCTCTAGCAGTTGGCAAGGGTCTCCGTACAAATGCCTTGTTTGATATTGCAACTTTTGACAGGAGATATGACAGGGAACTTTGACAACCTAGCAAAGCAGAATGGTCATCACAACTGAGCTAATCTAGCCTATACATGATTTCAATAAGCATCCACCTACGTAACAATGACTACTCATGTTTACATGGAGCCTTTAGTATTATGAAACCTGAAGGGAGCATGACCAGAAAAAAATATCGACACTCCAAATATTGTTTCTACCCAAGAGCCCATAGATTGCAGTGGCTCAAGACAGCAGCTCACCACTTTTTCTCAAGGTCAATTAGGGAAGAGAAATGAACGTTGGCCAGCCAGCGACACCCTGCGAGAGGATAAAAAAGGATGAGTCTTTAGCACGGGTCACCAAAAAGGTCGATTTTAGGGAGTCTGTTGGGGGGAGACAGAAGGCGATCGAGGGGTTTATAGATCAAAATAAGAAGTCCGGCCAATTTTCTCCTCTTGCTTTGGAGGGACAAAAGACTTCTTACATCCTCAGTTAAATCTGCTCATTGGGAAATGAAGCTGGGGCTTTTTGTCTTGAATGGCTGAACTGTCCTAGTGAATTCAGCTGTTGTCAGAAGGTTCTTGTTGGTACACTCACATATACAGGCGGATCAATTGTGGCATTGCTCACAGAATCGAATACAAATTAAATATCCTTCAGAGCGCAGTGACCATGTCATAAATTTAGACATAGAAATCTAGGTCTTCTGGGACAAAACTTCATTTCAGGCCAGAAAGCAGGTAGTTACAAACAAAATTAAACAACACTGCCCAAATAATATACTTAAATTTAATATATTCTAGGCTAAGTTTCAATTATGTCAATCTTTTGAATTGCTAAACTTCAACGTTTCCAAGCATTAAGTTTTTGTGGTTCAACTATTCAGGTTCCAAGTGATTTGTGCTAAGTATAGAATCAATGAAAGCTATTGTTCCCATGCTGACAGAAATAGAACAATGGCAAAGGATCGCCAAATTTTCTAGTTGTTCAGTTATGTCTGGGACTAGTCAATTAAGAACGCAGGTGCAAAGAACAGCCAACTTAATGACAAATAACACAAAATGCTGGAAAGAATTTTTTTTTAGTTTATATACCACACTATATAATTTAAACTGAAGTATGCATTGCTGAAAAAAAGGACAAATTCTATTATACCAAACAACTTTTTGTTTATCTAAGTCTGGCAAAACATACTTGTGTCGAGATAAGGTGTAACTAGTTACTGAAGGTACAAGTCTTGCTGGGATGCAGCTCCATAGCCACCAGTCGCATACTAAAACCAAGTTGTTATTGCTTCATATTGAACTCAGCGACGGTCGTTCTCAAGAAGGCACCTCACCCAAGTTAGACAGCATTACTTAGCAGGGTATTCATTTATCAAAGCCATTCTTTTAGAAATCAGAGTACTGCTGATGGTGTAAATCTGAAGAAGAAACAGAGAAGGCAGGAGCAGGAGGCGGCCATTCGGCCCTTTCAGCCTGCTCCGCCATTCATCACGATCATGGTTGATCACCTCGTCCTGCTTTCTCCCCCTAACCTTTGATCCCATTTGCCCCAAGTGCTATATCTAGCTGCCCCTTGAATACATTCCCATTTTGTGGCATCAACTACTTCCTGTGGTAATGAATTCCACAGGCTCACCACTCTGAGTGAAGAAACATCTCCTCATCTCTGTCCTAAATGGTCTACCCCAAATCCTCAGGCTGTGACCCCTGGTTCTGGACACACCCACCCTGCATCTACTCTATCCAGTCCTGTTAGAATTTTATAAATCTCTTATGAGATCGCCCGTCATTTGTCTGAACTCCAGTGAAAACCTAACCTAGTCAATCTTTCCTCGTAAGTCAGTCCCGCCATCCCTGGAATCAGCTTGCTAAACCTTCGCTGCACTCCCTCAGACAAGGAGGCCAAAGCTGCACTCAATATTCTAGGCGTGGCCTCCCCAAGGCCCTGTATAACTGTTACAACACATCCCTGCTTCTGTACTCAAAACCTCTCGTAATGAAGGCCAACATACCCCTTGCCTTGTTGGCGAAATTCAACAAGCCTGCACCATCAGCTCTAAAGGGTCATATTGGACTCAAAACATGAACTCTGTTTCTCTCCACAGATGCTGCCAAACTTGCTAGACTTCTTCAGCACTTTGTTTTATTTGGAAAGACCTCATCATCAATCAACATATGAGGACAGATTTTCCAGTGGAGTGCACTAGGTAGTGAATGATCAAAAGCCGGAACTCCGGCTGGATATTTTTCTGTGACCTCCCTGATCAAGAATGCTAAATCCAATTGCAGCTACTTGGGAGGCAGGGAGGCTCACCACTGTACACTCTTTCAAACCTCCATGACAAAGCATTGATATGGAAAAGACCATTTTACCCATTTATTCCCTTCATAATATTCTTACATTTTATATGGAAGACAGGTATATGTGAGTACACTGTAATTCAATATTTGATGCTAGAATTTGATTTGATTTGAATTAGAATTAGGTTTAATGTCACATGTACTCAAGGTCAGAAGTCACAAGACACCAGGTTACAGTCCAACAGGTTTATTTGAAATCACACACTTTTGGAGCACTGCTCCTGCATCAGGGGAAGTCAGCGCTCTGAAAACTTGTGATTTTAATAAACCTGTTGGACTACAGCATGGTATTGTGTGACTTCTGACTTTGTCCACCCCAGTCCAACACCGGCATCTCCACAATCTATCAAGTACAGAGATATGTAAGTACAGTGAAAAGTGTACCAAGTGACCATTTCCAGCACCATCTTAGGTACAAAATCTTAGGTATAAATTCGAAAAAGGAGAAATAATGTTAAAATATTAGCATTACAGTTCTTCGCAGGCCAGAGGTGCATGCTGGGTCTCGCCTCAAGGCTGGGAATCCATAATCTGTTCCCGCTGGGCTTCCTAGAGAATTTGATTTATTATTGTCACATGTACCAGGATACGGTGAAAAGTATTGTATTGTGTACTAACTAGACAAATCATACCTTACATAAATACATCATGGTAATAGACAGAATGCAAAATACAGTGTTACAACTACACAGAAAGTGCAGAGAACGATCAACTCTAATATGAGAGGTCCGTTCAGAAAGCTGATAACATTGAAGAAGCTGTTCTTGAATCTGTTGGTACATGATTTCAAAATACTGTATCCTCTCCCTGATGGAAGACAGCAGAAGACAGTATTACTGGGGTGGGAGGGGTCCTTGATTATGTTGGCTGCTTTCCCAAGACAGCAGGAAGTGGTAGAAGGGGTCAATGGATAGAAGGTTAGTTTGTGTGATGGACTGGGCTGTGTTCACAACTTTCTGTAATTTCTTGTGGTCCTGGACAGAGCAGTTGCCATACCAAGCTATGCGTCCAGACAGGATGCTTTCTCTGGTGCAGCTAAAAAAGAAACTGCTAAGAGTCACTAAGGACATGCCGAATTTTGTTAGCCTTGAGGAAGTAGAGCCATTGGTCAACGTGGATGGACCAGGACAGCTTGTTGGTGATATTTGCTCCGGGGAATTTGAAGCTCTCAGACACCTCCACCTCAGCGCCACTGATTCAGACAGAGGTGTGTCCTCCACTCGGCTTCCTAAAGTTGACGACTAGTTCATTCGTTTTGCTGACATGGAGGGAGAGGATACTGTCTTTACACCATGCTGCTAAGCTGTCTCTTTCCTACACTCTGTCTCATTGTTGTTTGAAATCCAACCCACTATGGTGGTGTCATCAGCAAACTCATAAATGGAGTCAAAGCTAAATTTGGCCACAGAGTTGAGAGTTTATAATGGGTATAGTAAGGGGCTACATATGCAGCTTTGCGGGACACTGGTGCGGAAGTACCTTAGCCTTA